AAAAAAAAAAAAAAAAAAAGCAGCAGCCACATTTTGGGTGCTTGACAATTGGTTTGCATTTATGGCCATTTGCAGTATCCCTTATCACATGACCACAATTTACTATAAGTTTTGCCAGAAACCAAAATTTACTTCCTGTTTCTGACATCCCCCCTCTCCCACCAAAAACCCACCACCCATTGTGGACAATTAATTCAGTTAAGGACAACACAAATGTTGTAATATCACCTGTTTAACCACCAGCATGACTTAGGATAGTAATTCTGGGCTCAATTCCAATTGTAAGTTGAGGACTGTATTACACTAAGGCATATGCCATACTTTAGAAATCCTGATGAAGGTGTTTGCATCCTGCCTATTCAAAATCAAAGCCATTGCATTTGGGAATCTGATTTGCCTGATGAAAAACAATAAAGATGATACCCACATGTTTCTAAAAATGCTCTAAATTCCTAACCCTCTGTGTGAGAAAAAGTTATGTCTGAAAATATGCCAGCAGTAATTTAACTTTCTAAAAAAATAGGAAAACCAACTATAGACTGCTTGGGGTTTTGAGCTATACAGTACTAAATCATTATTTCCCTACATAATGTTACCCTGGCATTCAAACCATGCAGCCATTTACTAGCCATGTTCACACTACATATCTGTCCTGCTTATTCAAAACCCTACTTTCTAGGTTCAAACATTACACAGAAATGTTACTTAACCAAAACAGGCTAGGCTCATAAAATGCACTCATCTGACAATTCCATCCCACCTCACCCTCCAAATCAGCTAATAAAGCTTAGCATGTTGTATATATAAATTGGCTACTGTAGTTGAATTATTTATTTGGCCAAGTTTAGCATTTTATATAGGCACAACCATGGACATTCAGCTAACACACTGTATATAGTAGACACCTGAACATCTACAAATGCAAAATGGAGTTGTTTTCAATGCCAGATAAAATAATGTACCTTGTAGCGGTTGCCATAAGTGAGGTCCAGTTCAGATTCTTCTGGGTTGAAGAACATGCCTGGTTTCTTGGTCATCATCTTGGTGTAAACGGCCTCATTAGGCTGCACACGGATCACCAGTTCATTTCGTTTGCACTGCTGTTGGAAAATATCACCTGGCACCTCCCGGAACTGCAGCCGTACCTCTGCCTTGCGCTCATTCAGTGCCTTGCCACAGCGCAAGACAAATGGTACTCCTACAGAGAGAGTATCAAATAGGCAATGAGATACAAGGACCCTTGCCCACTAGACACTATTTGCCCCCAGTTCAAAGCATGTTTTTTGGGGGGAGGCTGGTCCTTTCCCTGTATGGTTATACTCACCATCCCACCTTTCATTGTCTACGTATAGCACAGCAGCAGCAAAGGTAGGGGTGGTAGAGCCAGCTGGAACTGTGGAGTCATCAAGATAGCCCTTCTGAGCCTCTCCTTTTCCAGATGGATTGCCCACATACTGCCCAAGGACTACATTTTCACTTTTCACCTCTTTGATGCACTTCAGAACCTTCACCTAACAGAAAAACACAAGGAGAATCGATCACACATCAGCAGAAGTAGAATTGAGGTGACTATATCCATTTCAAGACAATACAAACAGTGTACTTAGCAGGGGGAAATTCCATGGGACCAACATGCAGGCTTTCCAACTGGCATAAAGGTAGACTTATGTGTATCTTATATGTTCAGGAAAACAGTCTCCAACTGAAAATGACAAAACTCTAAATACTTATATTGACAGAAGAAATATTTAAGGGAAGAAAATTTTGTAGGAAACTGTTCTAATTAGGTCAGCACTGGTGTTCAGGTCATTATGAGACATTCACTTTTCATTTTTTTTTTTAAGAGATGGAAATGCTTTAGGAAGGTCTAGTCTAGGTGCCTAGTAATTCATTCCTATTTTAGAGATAGATCAGCAGTCCCCTCCTTTGGGCTACTTAGCAAAGTCTAAACTTTGAGAACATGTCGCATGTATTCTGACAAAATGGCTGTTATGGCATACTTGGCTAGGGAGAAAATATTCAAGTTACTTTAAGGAGAACCAGTAAAGTTACTCCTTGCCATCTCTCCTGTGGCTCCCTCCTGTGGAGATATTCCATACAAGCCCAGATAACCCTTCTCTTTTTTCCTGCCCAGATGGGCACTTATGCAAGGGACCGTGATGCAGCCATCCCTGTTTGTTTAAATCTAATACTTGTGGGATCCTTGGAAATAAAGGTGATCCTTGAAGTAAACACGTTGCTTCATATTTAGTTTGGTTTTGTAATTAATGGAATCTATTAAGCCTAGAAAGCTCTGGGCCTAAATTGAGGTATAAGGAAAGCAGATGGAAATTTAAGGAGGCTCAACAGCCTGAGCAGCAAAATGCACTTTTGCCCAAAGGCACTGAGTCAGAAGAACCAGGATCCTACCTTTTCATCACGGACATCATTAGAGTTGGTAGAAGTTGGTTTCTCCATAGCTACCAGACAAAGCATCTGAAGAAGATGATTCTGCATAACATCCCTACAGAAGTAGCAGGAACATGTTTTGATTACAGCTGTGGACAGCCATCCCATATTATTATGACTATTATAGTTGCTACACAATCAGCCAGATTGAGTCCTTCTCAAGGACTGGGATAGGCAGATGCTTTATGTTGTTTAGAATAGAATAGAATAGAATAGAATAGAATAGAATAGAATAGAATAGAATAGAATAGAACAGAACAGAACAGAATACTTTATTGGCCAAGTGTGATTGGACACACAAGGAATTTGTCTTGGTGCAAATGCTCTCAGTGTACATAAAAGAAAAGATACATTTGTCAAGAGTCAAGAATCATAAGGTACAACACTTAATGATAGTCATAGTCAAAAGTATCTAAAGGCTGCAAGCTGTTCCAAGCAAAGCTGCCTTTCTCCATTTGTTTTTAGTCTTCATATATCAAATTCATCTGCAGTTAGAATCTTCTATCTCATACTATCTCTTTCCTTCAACAGCAGAAAGAAATTTGAGAATACATCATTGCAGTTTGTAGAGGGAAGGCAATGCTTCTATATGGGAAGAAAGGATCCTCCACATAGAAAATCAACATGGTTAATCTAGCTTTCTCTTTAACATGCTAGTTCTCAAACTACAGGGTAGTAGAAAAAAATGAGTCATTGGATGGATAAAAATTGCTAAAAAAAAGGAAGTGGGGACAGTTGCAAAGGAAATGGTAAGCTTTTGGTAAGCTTTCACAGCCAGCCAAAATTCCCTCCCTTTATTTTTCACTTTTAGAAATTAGCTGAAAAATGAGACAATTGTGAAAAATGTTTTGCAGTCATCACTAGGTATAGATTTATTAAATATTACTGAAAACTCCACATATCCCCCAATAGCTTGTATTTAGCTCTGCAATTTGAATTAGCAGCTATCATATTTGCATGTTAGCTACTGCATTCTACCCAGATGCACAGAAACTTGGGTAAAGAGCTTTTTTTTTTCAGTAGTCCTGCAGCTGCTGGCCCTGGGTGCTCACCAAGTCCTGAGTTGCGTAGCACACTTGTCATCAGATGTCCAGGAACTCCAACACCTGGCATAATCCTTGTTGACCTGGAACAATGACTAATTGGCATGAGTTTGGGTAAATTACACCCCACCATACTGTTTGTGGGGGAAATATTTTTCAATTGCTCATTTGTCAGCTAATCTCTAAAAGTGAAAAATAAAGGAGGGGACTTTGGGGAGCTGAGAAAGTTATTAAGCATCTCTTCTGCAACTCTTCCCTTTCCTTTTTTTATCAATGTTTTCCATTAAATAGGACATTTTTTCTGGTATCCTGTAATTTGAAAACTAGCATGTTAAAGAGAAAGTTAGTTTGTGTTAATTGTCCATGTGTAGGATTCTTTCTTCCTAGGTACAGGTAGTCCTTGACTTACAACCACAATTGAATCCAATATTCCTATTGATACGTGAGATATATAAGTGAGTTTTGCCCTTATTTTACAACCTTTCTTGCCACGATTATCAATTGAATCTGGCCTCCCCATTGACTTTACTTGCCAGAAGGTTGCAAAAGATGATCACATGACCAGAGGGCACTACAACCATCATAAATATGCATCAGTTGCCAAAGCATCTGAATGTTGATCAATGACCATTGGGATGCTGCAACGGTCATAAGTGTGAAAAACAGTCATAAGTCGCTTTTTTTAGTGCCATTGTGATTTTGAACGGTCACTAAAGGAACAGTTGTAGGTCCCTGTACAGACTGCATTCTGTTGAAGAATGCCTTTCTGCTGGTGAAGGAAAAGGGTGTTTTTGTATCCAAATATTATATGGGTCATTTACTGTATTAACACACTGGTTTGCCAAAAAAATGGCCAGTAGCCCAAAGAGAGCATCACATCGCACCTCTCCAACCTCAACTCCAGCACATATTTTTTTTTGAAAAAAAGGTTTTAACCAGCACAATTAATAAAACAAATGTTAAACTCAAAAGAAAATAATAGAAATCATACAAAAGACTTTTTAAAACATCCTGAAACAAACTAGGAAAGCAAAAAAAGAAAAAAAATTACCTTTAATAATATACTTATTAATAGTCGTTGGCTTACTAATACATACACTACTATAATATAATGAATAAAATTGGTCTTTGTAAAAATACCAGGAAATCTCTGCCATGCCAACACCTATTGCTGTATCTCAGCCCCAACACTTACCGAATAATGCCAAACTCATCAAAGTAGCCTCCCCGTCCCTCTGTGCCAAATGGCTCTTTGAAAGTCAGAATGACACAGGCCACATTGTCACGGTTCCAGATAGGGCCAAATATCCGGTTTCCAAATCTATAAAGGCAACCAAAGGTGATCTGAGTCAGAAGCTGCAAAGGAGAGGCCTCTCAGTCAATCAAACCGTAGGGCCTCTAATTTTATAGCCGAGCCTTCCCCACCCGACAATGCTCTTGTGCACACCCTATAAAAATAACACCTTGGTGGTGGTATTAAGGTTACTGAAAGCTTCCACGCAGCAAGATTCAGGTTTTAAGGAGTTTGGTTCAGGGTAAACAAGTGAAGGTAAATCTGATCTGTGTAGCTGCTTATCTGGGCCCTGCATAGATCCACTTGGTGGCCTATCTTCACCACTCCCAGGTTTTTTATTTTACCTGAGCACCATCAGGTTCTGCACCATCTCCTTGCCCAGGTAGTGGTCAATGCGATAGATCTGGTCCTCTCTAAACAGTGCCGACATGTGATTGGACAGATCATTGGAGCTATCCAAGTCCTTGCCAAAGGGCTTTTCCACAATCAGCCGATTCCAGCCACTTGAGATTTGGGACAGAAAGAAGACAGAGTTTGTCTGTGAACCATATAAGCACAGGTGAATGAAGCCAAGGGAGGCTGCTTCAAAGTAATACCATCCACATTCTGCTTCAAACATCATTGAAAAACTCTGAAGATGAAGCAGCCTTCTCTGAATATGTATATGATACTATCATGTTGGCATTTTCTGATTCCAATAGCCTTAAAGTCCTCCGACACTGCTTGCATTTTTGCAGCCTTAAACAGAAAAAAGCCACTCTTTTTTCCTCTACTATTTTACTCCTTTAGTATAGGAACAAGCTTTTTTTTTTTTTTCAAAAATGGTTAATATAAGGACACATTGACAGATTCCTCATTCTTCCTACTTAGGAAACTTAAAAAAAAAATAGCAAGAGTTTTGTCTAGTGGGGGACTGATGGCTGCAATCAAGTAGGAGATGATTTACAACTGATTCCAAGGAAGGAAAACCATTTATTTTCTCACGGTGTGACTTGTCCCCTTTCTTCTTAAAGGGCACTTATGCTGGCAGTATTTTTTAACTATGCTTTGTGTTGGTCGGGGTTTGGCATCAGCTCCATTTCCTATGCCTCCTGTCAAATACAGCCTCCTCTGACACTGAATGCGTACAAGCTCGCTTTTCTTGAGACTCACTGCTTTCTGTTATCCCTCAGTAAGTCACCCAGGTTCCAAAACTTACACAGAGCTCAAGCAGGCCTTCTGGATGTGCGTAGTGACTTCCTTGTAGACACTGGGGGGGAGAGCCAGGTAGAAGAGACGGTTTGCTTTCTCTCCATTGTGAAGGGCGTTCAGGTGGGCATTTAGCCTTTCAAAAGAGGCCTGGTCATCATATTTGCCTGAGATGTATGAATTACGAGCAAAGAAATCATCCAGTTTTTTTTCTTCCTCGGGGCTGGCCTAAAACAAGATCAAGACTTGTTATCCTGCAAAAAAAAAATGAGTAATAATTCTTTCCTATAGATGTCTTTCTCCCCTACCACTGCCTATGGCAGCAGCTGTCTATCAGGGCTCGTCTGGCAGGGTGGATCTAGTTCTATACATTCTGACTTTTAGCAGCATTACAGCAAAGCCCAAGCACATACTCATCGTCCCAGGAAGGCCAGAGGTCTCTCACCTTGAGATATGGGTGGCTCTGTTTGCGGATATCAGCAACTGTGAGCTGGGATCGGGCATAACCCACCACATAGGTGTCATCAGGAAGCAGCCCGTCACGATACAACCACCTGGGCAGGAAATCAAGCTAGTCATTAAATCAAGCCAGGTACAAGAAGCATGAAGAATCTTCCTGAGCAGCAAAATGGACCTACCAGATAGTTGGATAGATCTTCTTCTTGGCTAGGTCACCCTGCAGATGGAAGAGAGAGGGAAAAGGCCATTGGTTGATTTTTGAAGAGATGAACATGTGCACAGAACTGATTTTATGCTCTTATGTCTCTGAAATTGGAAACCAAGTGGCTAGGAGCGAACACCTACTCTTGCCCTGGATTCAGTCCTTGGGAGATCACAGAGGCAGGACAAACTGAGAAACATCTATTTCGATCACGGGATTCATAGCATCCTATGATACACACACTGAGAATAACTATATGTCCATATCAACTCCTTTATCGATGATAATTAGTCAGCAATTAGTGTATTGAAATAGACTAGAGCATAAAACAGGAATCCTTATTCTCCTTTCCACATTCTCTCCTTCTGTAAAGCTTTATTTGTTTTCCAAAGACTCCTTTGCAATCAGACTTTGGGAAATATTTGAGAGAAAGAAATGCTTGCACCCAAAACACTGGCTTAATTCCATGCTCTACTTTGTGCCTGCAAGACTGAAATGCTGCAGCATCCTGGAGCTGAAGAAGAGCCTGATTTTCATTGTACTTCACCTCCCTGACACAAGTCCTTTATTCCTGCGTTGCGCCTGGCACTACCACACTGCTCCAAAAGGCCCTGGCACTTGCCTTACTGATTCACTGGATGGCAAGCACGGTGGTTGGTGGCCATTGGTGCTGGCTGCAAAGATGCCAAGTCATGACATCTCAGCATGCTGCCACCCACGCCGTGGGCTCTTAGCCCAGTTCCATCACACCCTTGGCTGCCAGGCTGCCAAGCAGCAGAATGTACAAATTCTAGTGAATAAAGCCAGAGGCAGAATAAAGCCTAGCCGGGGCTCCATTGTGTCAGCACTAACTAGCACCTCCCCCAGCACCTGAGGCCAGTTCAAAGGTGAATCAAAGGCAGGATCTCACCCCTGGACACTCAGGCTGGGGGAGAGGCAATAGTTCAGAACATGCAAAAGGACCTTACTACGTCTGTGCTGGTGCCCCAATTACTGTCAACAGAAAGTTGTCTGTCTGGTTTCTGGAAGTCCACCTTTTTCTGCAAAGCTATTGGATCACCCCTTTAATCTTCATCCCTCACCTAGAGTACAGCCTAAACAAGGGCACCTGGATTTGGTTACATTCATTTAATGTCTGGCATGTCTATCCTCTGTAATTTATATTAATTCTATTATTAAAAACTAAGTCTCTAGATTGGGAAAGGGTATATATTTCTTTTGTATTATGAAATTCTTCATATTATGAAAAGCTATCAGTGGGATGTTACTATATATTGCACAATTGCTTGGGGATTAGCAGAGTAGAAGAAATGGATGATTGCCCTTACAAGAAATGAAGCCACTCAAATATTTTGTGGCGAGTGTCTCTGGATTCCAGGCGGAAGAGGAACCAAGGGTTCTGTGTTAGTCTAGCATTTATATTATCACCCACTACTCTAATCATAAGATCTAGATCACAGAGGTTATTCTGGAGTGATCTGCTACCATGTATTCCTCATACAAACTTTAATAATGCAGAACATAAAACTGACAGTACAATAATGGTTCTAGATGGTGGACATAGAATTAAAATCATATCGTTAAGTTAAAGTTCTGTTTAAAATATTAAACACACAAATTCTTGATGGTTTATTTATGACCCTTAAATACCATTCTTCTTACTATTTATCATAGGAAGATAGTGGGAATTAGTAATTCTTCCCAGCAGGACAGAATATAGTGACTACAATAACACCAATTTTATTTGTGTTGTACCACTGGTAGTCCGTCACAATAGAAAACAGCATACTAGTAGAAGTTTCAGGCAGAAATATCATTAAGGCTCAAAAGATTAAATTGGGCATGTTAAAAGAGTTTTGGATTACTAATCTAAAGCAACAATTCAAACGAAAAGAAATAATACAGAAATTGTAGTGTATATGGCCAGGCTTAACAACAAAAGCTAAGAGCTACCATTTTTCACAGAGGAGAAATAAGAAAAATAGTTTTTATGTAGGAATTCGCTTCGATAGCTAAACAAAGAACAGGTATTACAAGAAAAAGCAGCAAGAGGCAGCACAGGATATTTCACTGTATCTTTACTTCCCTTGCAGTAACCACATAGCTTTAAGATTGACAGGAACCCAAAACAAAGCTGTCCTCAGATGGAGTCCAGCATTAAATTACATTTCCAGAAAATTTAGAAATTGCATAAGCTAAAGTGTTGGTTTTTTTTTAATTTTACGCCATTTAGAGTTTTCTCTGTAATGAAACGATTATTTTTTGGCACTTGGCCTAAATCACTCTGCTTCACTCTCTTCTGGTTTTTAAGAGTCTAGTGTAAAATTAGGGATGCTGTGGGCTTTGAAGTAAGTATGGGCAAGCATGTCCCAGCTGCTGGTGCTTCCTTAAAGCAGCCATGTTTTTCCTAGATTCATAGGTAGCTGTGCTAAGAAAACAGGCATTTGAGATAAGGAGAGGTTAACATACGGTGAGAAGTTGCTTTGGAGCAAGCAAGGATGTGCTGTCACTAGCTTCTTACCTCAAACATATATTTTTCTGGGATTACTGAGTCAGGTGAACACATGAAAGGATACAACTTGTATAATGAGATAGCAACAGGTGCAGGATGCAAGGCCAGGCACTTTTTTTTTTACTTCAGATCTAAAGTGCTGTGTATTTTTTTATTTACAATGCTCCATTTAATAAAAGCCTTTAGATTTCCAAGTAGATTGAAATTTTGCCTCTGTAATTATTGTTAGAAGCAGCCTAAATATTAACTAAATATTATCTAATATCATTAGTTGCTTTAAACTATGAATGTAAATAAGTCAGTTTTGTGCTTTTAAATGTATGAAACTCTTATTTCAATACTATAATTTGTATGCTTACTACCAGAAGGATTGTATTTGTCCTGACAAAAAACTGAAGGTGTAGAATAATCAAGATTGAATGAATTTCTTGGAATGCCTGAATTCTTGTGGACATGTTTATGAATTATTCCTCTAGAAAGTACTTTAATTACAAGAAATTCTCCCTGGATAATAATTCATAGACGCCATATCTACAAGAATTTAGGCATTCCAGGGTAATCTATGTTGACAAATCTGATTTTTTGTGACATTTGTTCCTATCTGATCTGTTGACAGGCTTGCCATTGATATCCCGCTCTTCCACACACACTTGCAGTCATAGGATGTATTGCCACAAGCCAAAAATCTCTACCTCATTTTATGTTGGATGTCCTATAAATATGCATATGGGAAATTCTTGTCCTATCATTTGTCCGTGCAGCCTGTTCTTTGTGATCTTCCCTTATATCCCTGATTCATTTAGCTTCCCTTTTGTCAGATTCATTTAACTTCCTTTTTGTCAGTTTCCTGACAAACTGCAGCCATGCTCTACTGCACTTGCTAAAGATGCCTTGACCCTCAGAAGCTCCCAGCTTTTGCAATATTCAACCCACATTGGAAGCTCTTTATCTACTATAAACATTGATCTATCAATTATTCTGCTTTGATCTAGGCCAAAAAGATGTGAAACATCTGGGGCACATGAGGTTTACAACTGGATGGAGTTCAAATACATCTCTCTCTCTCTCTCTCTCATTTTTCACCAGTAGATGAGGTGATCTAACTTCTTTCCTAAATCTAGCCAGTCATCGCCCTTTAACATTGCTCCCTAAAAAGATATTATCTAGTGGAGTTCAGCAGGTGGATACTAAAGCTAAACACTTTAAAAGGCTTAAGTGCCATTAATCTGCTTATGTGTTAACTAATGGGTATGTGTCAATTTTAATCAGTAGTTTTGCAAATTAATTGCATATTTTACTTGGTGTTTATTTTCTTGCATTCCCACGACATGCACTGACATTAAAAAAAAAATGCCACCTTTGGGGTTTTCTGTAGGGGAGAATGATTATTTATTTAGTGTATGGAATCTACAGAGGTCATGCAATCACTGATATACAAATCTAATAGAGAGAATGGTTATGGTTAAGGATAAATGGGTTGCTTAGGAAAGCCATTAAAAGCCTTCCAAACCAGTTTTGGACTCCAAATATTGTCAATTATTTTGGAAGTAGCTCTTGATATCTATAAAATATGGAGTGTGGCCTATATGTTGCCCCAACTGAAGTGGTAAACAGCAACATGGCAGTGGTGGTGGTTGTGACTTTTATCCCATATTTATTTTTGTATATCAGTAATTCAAAACAACTTATATAATGCTATTTTCCCCAAAACAACAGCACTGTCAGGTGGGTTGAGCTAAGAGACTGACTCAAAGTAACCCACTGGAACTGAGCCTCCCACTTTCTAGCTCACCGTGTTACTCACTACACCAAATTAGTTCTTATCAAAAGTCTGAAGACTACAATGCCAGGAAGAACATAACTGAACAAGGTATTTTCAGTTACTGAGATTTCAACTCACAATAACTTATAGGCTGCATTTATATCTCTCTTTACAATCTATTCTAGAGGGAATCCAAAGAGGGCTTAGTGCCTTTTATTCAAGAGAATTTGTGAGCTTTTAGTTCTTGAAGTCCCTCTCACAAATACCACTAAAGAGGAAATAAACTCTGGAAATTGCCGACTTTCATGTGATTCTATGTTCAGGGACTGAGCCTCTCAGACAGTGCTTTCACTCAAACATGGATGCTTAAACAGACATTAATCTCAGGCTGGTCTTAACATCTGATAGGAGTTGACATAAAATCAATTTATGTGATGTGACAGAATGTCGGAATGACCTCAGATGGCCGAGGAAAGACATGCTGTCTAGGGAACAATCAGATAAAAGGTGGAAGCAAAGAAAGAAATCCAGGAAAGTTCCTCCCTAAGTTAACAGGTTGCAAAAGAGAAAGCAGGAGATTTGTACTTTCAGATTGCAAGATTCTATTAATGTAGCTTTACAATAAATAGAATTTAACTCATTTGGTTGTTTATTGTTTGTGTACATGACAAGGCTGACATGTGCATAGTGGCTCTTCAGGCTATACTAAATATTTTTAAAAAGCTACTTTGCAATACAGCAATGAATCCTCTTCTTTTGAATGGTTAAAGCAGCTGCAAAACGGCTGTGTATGCAGTTTGCACATGAAAACAGCCAAGAGCAGATTCCACAGCAACCACATAAGCTTGATGAATAAACACATCTGCTTTCACCACTTGAAAAGTAGTGCTCCCACGCCTGGTGAAGTGTGGCCTTCAAACTTCATAGCTACTTGGTACAGCTCCATTGGTACAATTGACAATTGGTAAATACATAGATATCCAGGAACAAATGGTAGTAAGGCCTATTCTTCAGCTACACCCTATTGCACCAAATCAGAAAGAGAAGTGCACTAGAAAGAAATAGATGAAGCTGCCCAGAAGACAAACTTCCTTCTTTGACTTAAGGAAAGCGGCACACTTTAATTTCCTCATTACTCAGCATAGACTAGAGTTTCTCCTTCTGTTTAGTTCACTACTCAGTAGTCTTGCCTCTCACCCTTCCAATCTGCTGCAATCTTGCAATTCTGAAGCCTCCCCATTACAAAATTTAAAAACTTGCATTGAAGGGGGAAGTTGTTTCTTTTGTCACCCTCCCCCCCGCTTTTATTTTTTTTTCTCTTTTGCCCTTTTTTTTTTGCACTTCGTACTTTTTTCTTTCTTAATATTTTATTTAGTTTGCATACCATTTTTTTAATCTTTGTATTTTTAAACTTCAATAAATATTATTTAAAAAGCAGGATTAAAAAAACCACATAGCCACCACACCCATGCCACTCTAAAGAAAGCGCAGGACCATTTTAGACATATTGTGCAGGTTACCAAACCATAAGGTTCAGATGCAATTCAAATTACATGAAACATAGGCGGTATTTGGATAGGGAAGAATTTCAGGAAAAGCCACTGTTGTGGAATGCTGTGTAACACTTAGAAGAACCGTGTTGATTGCCATGATCATTGGGTGTCTACTTATAAGAAAGGGGAACCCTGATCAATCGAAAAGCAAAGATTTTTACAGAAGTTGAGAGCTAGAAGGCGGTGAATCTTAAGGATTTGATTGAGTGGCCAGTTTGAGGAAGCTAGGAAGATCCTTGTCAGTGTACCTGGGGTTATTCTATTGTTAGGCAAAACGGGCCTCTCAGGAGGCAGCCATTGAGGAAGTCCATTGTTAAAGGTGATGGCCTGTTGAGATCATCAGCTGTTGGAGAATGAAAGATGGCAATTCTTTTGTAAGGGATATTTTTGAGCTGCACTGGTGAGGCTTCTATTCTTTGGTTTGATAGGATTGCAGGGGCTTTGTCTGGGGCAGAAAGGGTCAATTTGAATCTGATGGGATTAGGCAAAGAATGGAGTTTGTGTTTGAGCCCGGTCATATCTAAAAGATGGGGGTTGTATGTTGCACTATACAGAGGTCCAGTTGAGTAACTAAAGTGTCCAGAGACAGAACAAAGCCCAGTGACATTCACCTTCAACAGGGATGTAACTGTATACACAAGGCACAAATGCACAAAGTTATCTTCAAGATGCTATTGTATTTACTTAAGAGCTCCATCCTTCATTCTTTTGTATTATTCTACTTCACCTCCTGATTGCCTTCTCCATTAAAGTAGCATGATTTTTAACTGTAGCCCCAAATCTGGAACTTGTTATGTTTGTGGAATTACAGGCTGTAATTGTGACAACATGGCTGGGCAAGATGGGAATTGTAGGGTAATAGAGAGCCAGTTTGGGGGTTGTAACATAATACTTAAATTCTGAGCATGTACAACATATTTTTCTTTTGCATGAGCAACTGCATCTTATCTTTACAAAATTGAAGAGGCTCTCCAAGGTTTATGGCAGGATTATTGTATGTTTCTCTCCCCTCCTCATTAGTTTACATTAAATGTGCCCTACATCATCCTTAACAGTTTAAATTTTCATGTATTTTCTAGCAATATCCTGGTAGCATCTTTAAATTCTAATTACTACTCTTATTTTATTGTCCTTAAACATGTTCATTCTTAGTTTCTCATTGAGAATAATATAGTCTTGGCTAACAAATAAATAATAAATAAAATGTCAACTACAAAATATGAAAACTATATGAAAAAACTCACAGTACATTCTTAAGAATTTCACTTCATGAGAATAATAGTTATTGCTCCTGAATAGTATTACACAGCCAGGCAAGTTAAGACACTTAGAATATGGATTTTGAATGAAAAGGAAAAGTGATTAAAAATAATTAAAACAATCTAATACAGTAGAAATGAGCCGTAATTGCAGATATCCAAACTATAATATAATACCACTTAATGTTTGAGGGGGAAAAGGGTGAGGAAGATTTTTTGGGGGGAGGGAAGGGGGGGCTCTTAAAACACTTTTTTCTGGGTTTGTCTCTTTCATCTAGTATAAATTTTATTTTTTGTAAGGTGTTTATTCTGTTCTCTTTTTTTTTTTTTTTTTTCGTGTTGCTTTCCAAAAAAATAAGGAAACAAGAAAAAAAAGAAAAGATTGTCCACTGCTGAAACATGTCTGTACAGAACATTTTGTATTTATAATTAAAAGACTAAGAAGCACATTCATGTTTATAGGACGAATGGGCTGATCTTTACAGCATCTCATCAAACCCAAAGCATGTATGGGTTAATTACCTGGCCCTTAAACATACTCAACATTTCCCCACCCTTCCAACAAGGGCTGCTGACCACACACTTCATATGTGCTGTGTTGTACAACCATACTGTCTTTACAAATAACCTTATAAAGGGCAGAAAGGCAAGGTGCTATATACTAATAAGCAGTTTGGCTGCTTTACCTATGACTAATTTGAGGCCAGTTTAAGTCAGCAAGCACAATGTCTGCATCAACCCCACCCTACCCCCACTTCAATTTCTGAAAGGGGTGATGCTAGATCCGAGGCCAGAAGTATACAAGCAGGCCAAAGAAGGATCAATACATCAGAGGAGTGCAATTTTGGAAATACAGGAAGGACAATTTAATTAAAAGGAACTGTTCTTTCCAATGCAGTCCTTTTGAAGCAGGGGACAGAATTACATATACTACCAGTTACAAGACAGTCATCAAAGCAGAATCTCTGTGACAAATCCTCACTTTCCCCCTATAAAATGGAGAAAATTACTTCTATTTCTGGCGCCCACATGGCAGAATTGAGTTAGCAGAAAAATGCCTCTGTTGCTAAACTGTAGCATACTTAATAAACGTAAACTTCTTGGATTTATAATACAACAGACATGCTCCATGAAATCCTGCTTAGCCCAAAGGAAAGAAACTCACTGATGCTCCGAAGATGATGAAGATGTGGGTATCCGATTTGAGGAAGTCATTCCCCTGGCAGAGCTCTTCACGGAGCATCTCACAGATGTCAGCTGCAGACAGCCTGGTGAGTGGCAAGCGGCGACTCATGTTGGCAGTATTGTTTCCTGAGAAGAAAAGGGATGGTCAGGTAAAACTCCTCCTACCTTCATGCCCTCCCAATCCAAAAAGTGTTATCCAGGTGAGCAACCCTCTCCATTCCTCCATGCCAGGCCAGCCATTATGCTAGGCTGATATCCAAGCCACAAGTCTCAACTTGCAGTAGGAAGTTCAGCCTCCATAATTCTGGCAGGATGCATTGTGCAAGTGTTGTCAACAGGTTCCCATGTACATACCTTGGCCTGAAGTCCTGCTGCTTGGCAGGCTGATCCAAGAAAATTAAAAACAAAATGCTAATTGTATAAATTGAGTGACTACTCTCCTTTTTTTTTACAGTACTAAAGTTACATAACTTTTTTTTAAAAAAAAGCAGGCAGTGGAATGCAAGAAAAACGAGGAAGTAACCGAATTTCCCGGTAAGACGTGAAATGCACGGAACGATCAGCTTGCTGGAGCTGAGACTCTGGCCAACCTTTTCAAGCAAATTAGCAAAGAGATCCTAGGGAACCTCATAGGTGTCACATTGTCTTCCGCCATAAGCGAGGAACAGAGGATTACTTTCAGGTCTGTCCGCGATCTGGTTCCTTCTCTTCCTTTAACCCCCTCCCTCTTCATCCCGATCCTGCCCGAAGCCGAGCATCCTTGCTCTTCCTCGCCTCCAGGGCTTCGCTTTGTCCACTGCGCGCAAATTCGGTGGAGTGCGTGCAGGGGCGCGGCGGTTCTTTACTCAGCCACAAAAGGGGGTCCAGTAGTTTCTCACGCTGGAAACTTTTGCTAACCCCCCCTCCCCTCTTCTTGTTCCGCTTACTATAGGTAGGGGAGAAAACCGGCGGCGGGGACCGAAGACAGGGAAGTGGGAATAAACCCGCGCTTTTCTTTTCTTTTTTTCCCCCCTACAGGGCAGCTCGCTTGCAAACCTCTTGGAAGCTCAGTTCACCTCCCCATTCCCCCACCCCTTTCATCCGGGTTTCTCTTCCAGACAGCCGGCCGCCCACCCACCCCTGCAGCCCCAAATACCTGCTCCCGGTCTCGGCTGAAGCTGCTCTACTTCTCCCGCTGGCGGAGCTCCCCATCCCCCGCCCCTTTCGCTCCTCCGGCGCTGACAAGGAGGCCTCGCCCGCCTCTTGAGGCAAGTCCAACCCCTCCCAGCCGGAGCTGCCGGCTCGGAAGCGCCGGAGCCAATCGAGGGAGCCGCCGAATGCTCAGCTCCGTGAGCTTCTTCCGCACGGTGGGCCGGGCTCTTTGCAACGGAGCCTGTTTCGCGGGATGGGGCGGGCGAGGGGACTTAGGTCTTAGGTAATGAAAGCCCCCCCCGCGCTCCCCCCAGCCCCTCCCTCCGGAGACTTGATCCCTTTTGAGGGAAGCGTCGATACAGCAGCCTCGAGAGATTTCCTGAGGAGATGGAATTCCGTTCCCGGAACTCCCCGGGCAACATTCCAAAGACCATGATGCTGGCTGGGGATTCTGGGAGGAAGTCCAGCACATGGGAGAGGCAGAGGCTCGGGCCGCTTGCTACACTACCGTGTCCCGCGGTTGTGGACTCGCCTTCTTCACCTCGTTACATTTGAGAAAGTGGACCTAGAGGAGACGCATAAAAAGCATCCGCTTGTGCAATGAGATCATATGTACTTGACCGTAAAGGAGGTTAGGAACTCCAATCCAAAATAGATTTCTTCGTTCAGCGCTCCAAGGCTTGGGGTTGTTGCAATAAATCACTGAGCTATATTTAGAAGAAAGTCTGCTACGGAGAAAGTGGACTTCTGAAGGCAAGCTGTTCCATTGGTTGATTGCTCTCACTGTCAGAAAATTTCTCCTTATTTCCAGGTTCCCTCCTTGATCAGTTTCCATCCATTATTCCTTGTCTGGCTTTCAGGTGTTTTGGAAATTAGCTTGACCTCCTCCTCTCTTGGTAGCCCCTCAAATATTGGAACACTGCTACCCTGTCTTCCCTGGTCCTTCTCTGCACTAGACTAGCCATGCCCAGTTCTTGTAACCATTCGTTGTATGTTTTAGCCTCCAGTCCCCTAATCATCTTGGTTGCCCTCCTCTGCACTCTTTCTAGAGTCTCAACATCTTTTTATAGTTTATTTTTTATTTATATTTATTTATTATTTATATTGTGACCAAAACTGGATGCAGTATTCTAGGTGTGGTTATAGAATGGTATTAGTACCTCACTTGATCTTGATTGTATCCCTCTGATAATGCAATTTAGGATTGCATTGGCTTTTTGGCTGCTGCTTCGCACTGTTGGCTCATGTTTCATTTGTTGTCTACTTAGATGCCAAGATTCATCTCAAACTTATTACTATTAAGCCTGGTTTCATCCAGTCCATATGTGTACTTTTGGTTTTTCTTACCTAAATGTAAGACTTCACTTTTCTCTACATTAAATTTCATTTTGTTAGATAGGGCCCAGTGTTCAAATCTATCAAGATCCATCTGGATCTTGAGCCTATTATCTAGGGTGTTGGCTATTCCTGCCAGCTTAGTAAATTCCCCTTCTATTCCCTCATCTAAGTTGTTTATGAAGATATTGAAGAGTACTGGGCCTAAGATGGAACGTTGTGATACTCCACTGCTTACTTCAGTCCATTTAAATGTAGTACCATTAAGATCTACTCGTTGAGTACGGTTTGTCAGCCAATTACAAATCTATCTGATGCTCTCTATCCCACTTTTTTCTAGCTTACCAAGAAGTAGGTTGTGGTCTACTTTGTCAAATGCCTTGCTGAAGTCTAAGTATATTATGTCATTCATTTAGCAAATGTTCGAAGTTATAGTGGCAGTGCTCCTCACATTCGAAGAAAGTGACAACTGCTCCTCACATTTGTGATTGTTACAGCTTCCCCACCATCACCTGATCAAAAATTGGGTGCTTCGCAATGGCCATGCATTTACAACAGTCAGACCAGGTGATTGCAATTTGCGATCTTCACAATTGATTTCCAATGAGCATAGCCAATGGGGGAAGCTGAATTTGCTTAACAGCTACAGTATTCACTTAATAACTGCAGTGATTCACTTAATAGTCATGAAGAGGTCATAAAATCCTGCATGTCTCAATAACTGTCATATTTAACAAATGGGAAATTCTGGTCCTAATTGTGATTGTAGGTTGGGGTCTAATTGGATCTGTCTGTAGTAATCACTAGGCAATACCTCAAGGGTTCACACATGATGCTAAGTAAATGTTTTTTGAACAAGCTAAACTTCCCTGGGTTTATTCAGTTTATTGAGAAAGGGGTAGGGGTTTGGTTTAGTTTAACAAGTTGTATAAACTTAGCCATCTTTTGTGTTATAAACTTGTATTTTCGTATATCTGCTGATGATTAAATATCAAGCTACTTTCACATCTGCCTAGTACAGTGTTTGCCCAGTACTTATTCTAGTTTGTGAACCCAGATAGCATGGTTTAGAATCATGTCTTGTGATCCAGCACAGGGTTCCCCAAAGTGGTCAGATGAGATTATCGGTTATGATTATTACTCATAGTACTATAAGTTAAAGTAGTAGTTATTACATTATTTCCTTAAAATAAATGTTTGGAGACCAATAAGCAATTTGAAACTTCATGAAGGGATTGCTGAGATGAAGAGTTTGAGGGCCCCTAAACGTAAACCCAGTCATTGTATCTTATATAAGGTAATTTGGTTAAAAATATCCCATTTTATTTTATTTATTTATATCCCCCTTTTATTATTTTAATAGATAACTCAAGCAGCGAACTAAGCTCTTTCCTCCTCCTCTTTTCCCAACAACAACAACCCTGTGAGGTGGGTTGGGCTGAAAGAGAGTGACTGACCCAAAGTCATCCAACCAGCTTTCATGCCTCAGACAAAACTAGAATTCATGGTCTCCTGTTTCTAGCCTGGTGCCTTAGACACTAAATCAATGAATCCATGAAACGGATTATAATTCCTGTTTCAAAACATGTTGCCACTGCATTCTGAAATTCTTCTAATGATAACAGAGGTATGTGCAGTTATTTAATGGAGTAGTCTTGTTCTTCCTTTTATTCAGAGCAATAGAACAGAAAATGTTTATTCAGCTCAATTTATTTTAGTAAGATTACAAAAGGAAATGAATAGTCCCTAAATTATGTGCCCAAAAGGAAGATTAATGCTAGATGCCCAGACAGTTAGGATTGAATTTATTTTGTATATTATTCATTCTTAATTATTTTCTTCTCTCTCAGAAATGAGCCTCATTTTTAAGTGGACATCATTATTGTCTTGTAGTATTTCTGCAAAATTGAGTAAAATAGTAATTACATCTGACCATAGGTTTTTTTGCCTTTTTTTAGTGCTATATATAGCTCAAGCTGTATAGAAAGGTAGGTGAATAACTGCCAAAGATGTTTTGGGGTGTGAATGTATTTCTCCTGGAAAAGAAAGAGCAAATTCTATAAGGAAAGTTCGGATTTTAGAAGGAACCATATTGCGAACTCTGAGAAATCTTGTAAAGCAACCTTCCTCATATCTACAGTAAGTAGAACAGGAAACTTCTGAAGGTCTTTTCTCAATTTCTCTTTCAGTGTAATCTTGTTGCACAACCTTCACTTCTGTTTCTGGAATGTAGTTTGTTTAAATTTTGGGTGCCTAAGGGAAGAAATGTTTGACTGCATCTAATTTCAAGGGTTTTGCAAAGGACCATGTCCTTTGGAACTATATCCTATAGATCTGTTGATTTCAGGCTCTATTATTCCAATATGCTGCAAGATGGCAATTAAACAAGGTCATCTATTGGAGCCCCAGAAGAGTGCCTTCTCTGTAGCAGCACCTACCATCTGTTATAAGGTTCCCCTATTCCCGAAATCCAGAGGTGGCCCCATCTCTGCTCTTCCAGGCTTTTTACCCAAGACAAGGGAGAGTGAGACCCCTCACTTCATCATGCTTGCCATCTTTTTTTTTCTTTTTAGACTTTATTGTCATGGCCTCTGAAAAAAATCAGCTAGGACCTACATTTGAATGTATGACCATTGTCTTGCCCCTACAATTCCACAGTTTTGGGTGCTTGACAACTATCTTGCAATAATGGTTGGAAACCGAACAAGGGGAGATTTAACCTGGAAATAAGGAGAAACTTTCTGACAGTGAGAACAATCAATCAATGGAACAGCTTGCCCTCAGAAGTTGTGGGAGCGCCATCACTTGAGACTTTCAAGAAGAGATTGGATTGCCATTTGTCAGAAATGGTGTAGGGTCTCCCGCTTGGGCAGGGGGTTGGACTAGATGACCTACAAGGTCCCTTCCAACTCTGATTATCTGTTATCTGTTATTTATAACTGGTTGCAGTATTTTGCAGTTGTGTGATCACAATTTGCATTTGCACTGTTATGATGGTGTGACTTGACTTGTGACCATTGTAAACATTATTTCAAAATTGGGTCCAGTCAGATGATGACTTGCAACCACAATGACTTAAAATGGAAATTCTAGTCTTAAGTGTAGTCGTAATCTACAACATGAGAGACAAGATAGAGCCTTTTTGGTCCTTCCAGTACAATTGTGCAAGGGGCAACAGTGACATGCAGAATTCTCCCAGTTATTACTTTTAAAAATCACCTCTATAGAAATAGGACAGAAAAACCAAAAGCAACCCCTCATACCTCCCTCTCCCTTAACTGTGTATTTCAAGAAGACACTGTAGTCAGTAATATAAAAAGCTGCCAACGGATCCAGAAGGTTACACTTATCTACCTCCCACTGAAGAGTCTCCTTTAGGATAACAAAGGAATCTTCATGCTAACTTCCAGTTTACACATAGGCTGAAAAGGATCAAGATAATTTGTTTAAGATAAGAGCTACCAGAACTGGAATGCCACACTATCTTTTCTATTAGCTTAGGTAACTGTGAACACTGGCCCATAGTTGTTGAAAGATGGATTTCTTCATCATAGACTTCACCAATGACCCCTAG